CTTCCGCATGATGTATTCTGCATATAAGTTGAATAAGCCCGGGGACAATATACAGCCTTGTCGTACTCCTTTCCCAATTTTGAACCAATCAGTTGTTCCATATCCAGTTCTAACTGTTGCTTCCTGTCCTACATATAGGTTTCTCAGGAGATAGACAAGGTGGTCAGGCACTCCCATTTCTTTAAGGACTTGCCATAGTTTGCTGTGGTCCACACAGTCAAAGGATTTTGCATAGTCAATGAAGCAGAAGTAGATATCTTTCTGGAACTCTCTGGCTTTCTCCATAATCCAGCGCATGTTAGCAATTTGGTCTCGGGTGACTGTATACTTTGTAACTGTTTTTACTTCAAACGTTCTACAGATGGGACTCTTCCTGGATTAATCCACGTCCTGGATCAGAGAATTTTCCATGTTATTAAAAAAGAAAGAAAAGGGGAGGAGGGGGAAGCTGATTTGAAAGTGTGAACAAGTGGGGTCCTAAAAATCAGTCCCCCACCCCAAGGGATAATATTGTTGCAAAACCAAGCGTTCTGCAGCACCTTCAAACCTAGCACATTTCACTTGACAGCCGCTTTCATGGACTACGGTCCACTTTCCCAGATGCATCTGGAGCTGATGCCAAATAAAGCTGCTTTGTGGGGAAGGTGCCATTCGCTGCAACCACAGAGCGACCCCCAAAATGCCATATAGTAAAGCGCCTTAGTCCATAAGCGACCGCACGGCCTGGCCGGCGCCTGCCTTTCCCCAGATGGCTGAATCCTACAGCCAATCAAATGGCTTGGAATAAAAAAGCCACACCCAGCCTCTGTTCCTCCCGGCCAATCCGTGTCTCGGATGGAAGAATAACACCATTGGTCGGCCTGCCTCGCAAACTCCGCCCCCTGCTGAGTTCGGAAAGTGAAAGTAGCACAAACACAGAGAGATGGAGATGCGGGACCAAAGCTCGCTTCGAAATACAGCTGTTTGCCCCTAAAGCGCTTCCTTTTCGTCTTTTCTCTCTCTTTGCATGTCATCTCAGTTGGACAAAGATTAGTAGCCTATTAACTGGAAGCAGATTCGAAATCAAGTGTGAATTTTCACTAAAAGCAGTAAAAAAGGCTATACAGTATTGAGATTTAGATATGCGGTCCTAGGTTGAGTCTCACTAGTAACTGCTCATACATAAGTTACTCCACTAATTATTTACTATCCGTGCTGTATTTTTTTAAAAAATCTTGTTGAATTTATTCTTTTAAGGTTTTGCACTTTAAACATGTTTGATACTGTTTTGGCGAAGTTCTACGCAATAATGCTGTATTCCACTATGCCATTGGAAAGAAAAATCAAATCTCATTTGTTCCTGTCATAACCTAGACACCCAGACTGTGTCAGATGGCGTCGCTCCAGCTCTGCTCCAAAAATTATTTCTCTGCCTGGTTGAACCTGTAGTTGTATAATTCCTTGTTCTTTTGAGTATATAAAAAACACTGAAGAGCTTATTTCTGTGTGTGATGCTGTGAGCAGAATTGTACCAAATGGTATATCCCTGAGATTTGTCAAATGCATTTCAAGAATTTTTTTAAAAATCCCTTGCATGCTTTTATTATACACACACACACATACACATATTACCAAACTGTTTAATAATCATCCACTTATTAATTGTATGGTTTTCTTCCCCTCTTCATTTCTCTTGTGTGAATCTGACCCAACTCCAGGAGGCAGTGGAAGATAGGAGGGCCCGGCATGCTCTGGTCCATGGGGTCATGAAGAGTCGGGCACGACTTAACAACTAAACAACAACAACAAACACATTGTGGCTGCCACCGCCAGCAAGCTGCACGACCAGTTTACCAGTTTACTCAGTTTACTCGGTTCACATATGGAAGCATATGTGAAACTTGAGCCAGCTACATGGAACTGAAGCAGAGTTTTTGTTGCAGTACTGCAGTTTAATCACTGCACCACAAGGCTCCATGGGGTTTAGGGCTAGATTCTTATGAACTTCCTGATCAGTTGAGTTTCTCTTCATTGTTCTGGAATCAATACGTTTGCAGATATATTCATAAAAAAATTCAGAATTAGAATGATGTTAAATCTTTGATTACACTGATGCCTGTGTGATACTAGTTTTGACTTTCATGATACAGTACTGCCTCATATCCTCACAATGAAGAATTTTGTTTCACTTTTCTTTCAAGAGATTGGGGGATGATAAGTCCTAGACCACTCCCCATCTTCCCCACAATTCCAGCTCCCTAAAAGGGATCTAAAAAGATCATGGCCACTTGTCCCATCATCTCCTGGCAAATAGAAGGGGAATATATATGGAGGTAGTGACAGATTTTACTTTATTGGGCTCCATGATCACTGCAGATGGTGACAGCAGCCACGAAATTAAAAGACGCCTGCTTCTTGGGAAGAAAGCGATGACAAACCTCGACAGCATCTTAAAAAGCAGAGACATCACAAAGGTCCACATAGTCAAAGCTATGGTTCTTCCAGTAGTGATGTACGGAAGTGAGAGCTGGACTATAAAGAAGGCTGACCACCAGAGAATTTATGCTTTTGAACTGTGGTGCTGGAGGAGACTCTTGAGAGTCTCCTGGACTGCAAGGAGAACAAACCTATTGAGTGCTCATTGGAAGGACAGATCCTGAAGCTGAGGCTCCAATACTTTGGCCATCTCATGAGAAGACTCCCTGGAAAATGTTGGGAGAGTGAGGGCAAGAGGAGAAGGGGATGACAGAGGACGAGATGGTTGGACAGGGTCATCGAAGTGCCCAACATGAATTTGATCCAACTCCGGGAGGCAGTGGAAGATAGGAGGGCCTGGCATGCCCTGGTCCATGGGGTCACGAAGAGTCGGACACGACTTAATGACTAAACAACAATAAAAGGGAGCCACTTATCAGACAGCATGCCAGAGAAGTTCTTTTGGAGTAATTTTTTTCTAAGGAAGTTATAGCAACCAACAATCCAAAAGCAAATTTGTAATGTAAAATTTCATAGATCCAGAGAACCATATGGACACAAACCATACTGATCCATGCAGATTACCTATGGAAAGCTGGCAATGCTAGTACAACAGCGGCTTTTCACTCCTCCTTGTAGAGGATGGTTGTTCTATTAATCCCATGAAGAGATGATTAGGGTCAAACTGAGGCTGATTTGTTATGTGCAAACAGGGAGCATGGAAGTAGCCTCCCTAAAGAATGTGAGACTGAACACATTGGAACATCTCCTGAGCAATGATGGTACCCTGTCAGCTGATGCTTCCACTCCGGGAACACCACTGCATGGCTTGCACAAACAAATAAGAACATACCTTAGCAGGTGGAAGACACATTTCTCAGTAGATCTGGGCTCTTTAATAACCTCACTCCTTGGAGTTGTTTCTATAAATGCATTTTACATTTTTGTTCACAATGCAGAAATTGAAACCCTTCATGTACTAGCCCGACTCCCTCCAGAAACACAGCTTGGGGGGGGGGGGCTCATCAATTCATCTCTAAGCTTGGATGCTCAGGTTTCGGCAATAATGATGGGAAAAGTTGAAGGCAGCAGGAAAAGAGGAAGAACATATATGAGACAGATTGACTCCTTAAAGAAATTCACAGACTTGGGTTTACAAGAGCTGAGCAGGGCAGAAGTTAGAGGTCATTCATTCACAGTGTTGCCATAAGCTAAAGGCAACTTGACAGCATGTAACACCATGCTGCTTGCAATTTCTGTGATTTTTCTTATGGTTCAAAACCTAAACAGACCGGCCTTTTAAATTTTTTAATTCAATTGGTCATTCTAGAATTGAACTATCAGGACAGTGTAATACTTGAGTTTTAAATTTATATTGTCATTATCTAAAGAGATATGTTTTTCATAAAATGTGTTAATGTTTTTAAATATTACAAATAAAATATAGTTTTTAGAAGAAAATTGTTGTAAATTACACATGGACACTTGAAGGCTGGAGAGAAGAAGCTGTAAAATCACTATGAATTGTATTGCACAGTAAGAAATAAATGAAAGAAGTGCACATAGAAATAGGAATATAGAAAGGAGAACTTAGGAAGTGTAAAATGGAAGCATAAGAATTTTTGTGAAGAGGAAAAAGTTAATAGAAATACTGTACATCTGAAGATGGGTATGAAAGACAGGATCCAGTTTGACTTTATCATTTTTATTTGTTTGCAAGAGTCACAGAAGTCTGACCTGGGAAAGAATGACTTTATACGGAAAATACAAATACTGTACTTATTGTTCTGATATTAAACATACAAAACAGACACACAATGCCACTCCTTTCACAACAGTGTTAAGAATGTATAAACTGGGTTGGAAACAGATAATTAAAATGTTGTTAGAGCTAACGTGCATATACTTATTAACAAAATAATTCATTGTGTATTTGTGTGAACTAAAGAGATATTAGTAAGTGAACGTTTGTCTCCCATATGATATATTTCTAAAGTCTTCCCATCTCGGAATCTGGTATCTTTGAGATTTTCAGAATTGGTGGGTCATGAGGGTTAGAAACTTAATTTTCATTTTGAAACAGAAGCTTTTTCAGGAAAATGACTTCAGCCCTCGGCACC